GACACTACGCAGGAGGGACAGACCGGGGGACACTACGCAGGAGGGACAGACCGGGGGACACTATGCAGGAGGGACAGACCGGGGCCTCCATAGCACAGTGAGTGTGAGAACAAGGGTGAGAGGACGGGACAACACAGTTCAGACAAGTCGGCTGTGACAGCTCAAAGTCCTGAGGTAAAAGGGACAAAATAACAAGAGACAGTTTTGAGTTTCAAAGCTGAGTGTTCAATAGGAAGGCCGTGTAATTAAATGAAATAATGAAGAGAGAAAAAGAGCCTGAGAGAAGGCGATGAGCTGTGTTCAGATACGTGAACGAGAAAGTTCCATAAAGATTCCAGCAAACACAGCATGGGCAGCAACAGCTAAGATCACGGCAACAGTTAAAAAACACTCAGCTTTCAAATCCCCATCCTTGAAAAGTTCCCAAACAAATGTGACACCATCTTTATTATTTAATATTTCCATAAAAATTAATATCATATTTAATATGACACATATTTCTGAGATATGAAAGTGATTATAAATGATGGCATGTAACAATTTAAATGTTTCGGCATTTTTCACAGTACAAAAAAATAATGATGTATTTTACCATAAACAGTATCTTAAAGTCAATAAAATACAGTTACCCTAGATCAACCTGAAAACACATAATATTCCTTTTTTTCTTTCTTTTTTTTTTTTTTGAGACAGAGTCTCACTATGTTGCCCTTGGTAGAGTACCAGTGGTGTCACAGCTCACGGCAACCTCAAACTCTTGGCCTCAAGCGATTTCTTGCCTCAGCCTCCCAAGTAGCTGAGATTACAGGTGTCTGCCACAATGCCTGGCTATTTTTGTTGTTGTTGTTGCAGTTGTTTAGCTGGCTCAGGCCGAGTTTGAACCCACCACCCTCAGTGTATGCAGCTAGCACCGTAACCACTGTGCTATGGGCACCAAACCAAAAAACACATAATATTCTAATTGAAAATTACTCACGTCTTTCAGTTAATGCTACTTCACAAATCTCTTTCAATCGAGTTATGAGAAGCTGATCAGCCACCACAAGAACACTACAAATAAAATCCACATTTGGAGATTCTAAAAAAAAGAGGAAGAAAATAAGCATCACTCATTGTTTTATAAACATTAGACCTAGAAAAAAACTGAAGTAATTAAATACAAGGAAAGAAAAATTATGATTAGTTTTTAAATGTATTAGAATGGTAACTATGATAAATAGTAAATATTTTTAGATTTTATTAGGTACAAAACTGAAAAAGATATTCAAAATGCCTCGGCTCACACTAAGACCATACGATGGCCAACTTGAGTTGATCATTTCCGTGTAGACGGCAACTGGAATGTCTGAGTGTTTACAATCTCCCATGTTGTTAGAGAAACATCTCTCAAAGGAACAGAAGGGAAAATCAAATCTCAGCATCACTGCACGTAACATCCCCAAGCCACTGCCAAAACCACAATGTAAATAGAAAGAAAGAAACCAGCACAGAGAAGAAAGGGAGAAAAGAGGTTCAGATGAAAAAAAATCTGAAGTAGAGAAAAGTTTTAAAGTATGAGGAAATGATGGGGTCACTAAGAATGAGAGATGAAGAACTTCTGAAAGACCCTCTCTGCCATGAGAACAGGAGAAGGCTGTCACAAATCGTCCTCATTAACTTTTTCAGAATTCTGGAAATCAGAAGTCTGGAAAGACTTGCAATTCAAAGGGGAACTAAAAGTGGCTGAGTCTGGTTCAGAACAGTGAGATTTGAGACATCATAGCCTTTGCTATTCAGAGCCTTCTCTCCCTGGTTCTGCCATCACAGTGAATCACAGTAGCAGCCTCGTATACTGGGAGACGGACAGTTGAAACATTATCGAAGAGCTATCATCCTCTGACCTGTCTGTGAGTCCCTGGAAACCTACCTGGAGACGCCCCCTGGAGAACCCTCTAGAGACCCCCCTGGAGACCCCCCTGGAGACCCCTCTGGAGACCCCACCTGGAGACCCCACCTGGACACCCCCCTGGAGATCCCACCTGGAGACCCCACCTGGAGACCCCTCTGGAGACCCCCACCTGCAGACCCACCTGCAGACCCCCCGAGAGACCCCCTTGGAGACCCACCTAGTATGGCTTATCTTTATCTGACCTGACTCACATTTTGACCAGTGAGAAGAGTCTTTCCCCAGGGCATTTATGGAAAAAATAAATATTAAGTAAAGAGACTGAATTAGTGACTAAAAAACTTTCCACAAAGAAAAGTCTGGGCCAGATGGCTTAATTGGTGAAGTCAACTGAACATTTAAGGAAGAATTAACACAATTCTTCGCAAACACTATAAAAATGTAAGATGAAGAACATTACTCAGTTTACATAATGAGGCAAATATTATCATGATACTCAAACCAGACAGACATCACAGAAAAAGACAGGTATGTCTTAAAACTGTAGATACAAAAATCCTCAACAACCTGCTAACCAACTGAGTCCAGCAGCATATAATATACAAAGGACTATGACACAAGGTGACCCAGTGGGGTGTCTCCAGAATAAATGATGATTCAACACACGACAATCAATGTGACACACCACTTCTACTCAACAAAGTCTGGGAGTTCTAGCTGGAGGGATTAGATAAGAAAAAGAAATAAAGGGAATCCAGACCAGAAAGGATCCAGTAATACCATCTACTTGTGAACGGCGTGCACACAGAGACTCCTAAGGAATCCACTAAAAAACAACTAAATCCAATAAGTACGTTCAGTAAGGGTACAGAACACAAGATCAATATTCAAAAATCAACTGTAATTCTAAACACCAGCAAAAAACGATCCAAAAATGAAATCAGGAAAACATATCCATTTATAAAATAGTCTAAAATACTAAGAACAATTTTGGCCAAGAAAGTACAAGGCTTGTACACTGAAAACTACAAAATCATTGAAGAAAAGTGAAGACTGAAATACAGGGAAAGTACCCTATTCTCATCAATTAGAAGACCTAATATTAAAATGGCAATAATCCCCAAATTGATCTACAGACTCAATGTCATCCCTACTAAAATCCGAGCTGCCTTCTTCACAAAAATTGGCAAACTAATTCTAAAATTCATTTGAAAATCCAAGATACAAAATGGCCAAAACAATCATGCAATTGTTGAAATCTAAGAACTCACATTTCCCAACTTTACAACTCACTCCATAGTAATGGAAATCAAGACAACGCTCCACGGGCATAAAAAGAGACACAGATCAATGGAATAGATTTGAGAATATAGAAAAGAAACCTTACGATTATTGTTAATTGATCAAAGGTGCTAAAATAATTCAAAGAACTAAAAGTCTTTTCAACAAACAGTGCAGAAGCCTCAAGCTGCACACGTGTGGACTGTGGAGAAGGGCCCCACATAGAAGTCAACTCGAAAAGAGGAGGTTCCCAGGGTCTGGGAGTGGGAGCAATGGAAAACAGGTCAAAGGGCACAGGGCACGCAGGTCTGTGGTGAGTGAGTTCTGGGGACTTCACACACAGCACAGTGAGATTTGCCACTACCTAAGTGAGGTCTGCTAACAGAAGATCTTAAGTATTCCTACTACCAAAAAAACAGACGTGACGTGATAAGACACGTTAATTAGCTTGACTGTGGTAATCATTTCACATATATGCGTATAAGAAAACACCACACTGTGTACCTTGATTACAGACAATTGTTCACTGTCAGTTACACCTCAGTAAAGCTGGGAGTAAAGTTAACTCAAAATGAACAAAGATCTAAGTATGAGAGAGACAGAGAATCATCAAATCCTCAGAAGAGAACACAGGCAATCATCACAGCCTTGGATTTGGTGATGAATTCTCACATAAGACACCAAAAACATGAGCAGCAAGTAAAAATAGTAATTTGGAATTCATCAAAATTAAATACTCTGTGTTTTAAGGGACACTATCAAGAAAATAAAAACAACTCAGAGGAAACATCTGCAATTCATCTGTCTGATAAGGGTCTGGCATCCAGAATATATAAAAAACTTTCACACACAATAAGATGGCAAATAATTCACAAAAAAATGTTCAAAGGATGTTTTCACAAAGATAAACAAATGGCCAAAAAACACATGAAAAGATGCTCAACATCATTAATCATTAGGGAAAGACGAATCACAAACACAATGTTGCTATCAAAGCTACTCGGATGGCTGTAACAAACCAGGCAAGAATGTGGAGAAACGGAAGCCCTCGCCCACTGCGGATGGCGAAGTTATAGTAAAGGGCAGCCGCTGTGCATGTGGCAACGCCCGTGAACGCAGGGTCACAGTGGGACCAGCCTTTCTACTCCCAGGTACCTGCTTGAGAGAAATGAAGATACACGTCCACCCAGAAACCGGGCCCCGGCCACTCACAGCAGCACCACTCGTCACAGCCAACAGTGAAAAGGGCCCGACCCCCACGTGGTGAACGTAGAAACGCACAATGGAATTACTTGGCAATAAAACATAATGAAGCGCTAGAACACGCCACCCACAGACCTCAGCAACAGTGGGGGGGGAAAAGGAGTCAGACACAGAATGGTGTTGGGTTTTTATAGGAAATGTCCAGACTCCACAGAGACGGGGAGCAGATGAGAGGTTGCGGGGGTCGGGCAGAGAAGAGCAAGTGTCCACTGATGATTCTTTTCCAGGTGATGAAAATGCTCTAGAAATAAACAGTGGTGACAACTGCACAGATTTGTTAATATACTGAAATCCACTTAATTGTATGCTTTGGAAGTTTTAAGTTTTCTGGTGTGAACAATGCCTCAATATAAAAAAGAATGAGGGAAATAGAGAAAAATGCCTATTACTCCCCAATATGCAAACCCTTCAGAATCCTGTCCACGTTAAGTATCAGCTCTTTTCCAGAGACTACCCAGACTTCCTGAGCAGACTCCCAGGCCTCCCAGAAATGCCCTCCCTTGGAGAGCAGCGTTCTCTTGAGTTGCACTGTGTCTGTCCTCCCCACTGGACTGTGAGTTTATGAGAAGAGAGTGAGGCCTAGTCACACGGTTAATCCACAATACGCAGCTGGTTATAAATGGAATGGCCGAATGGCGGCCAGCCCCCAGCAGCGCTCTGACAACTGGAGGGTGCAGGGAACGCACCCTGGAGCCTGCCTGACTCGGTGCATGAACACACTTCCTTCATAAACTCTGGCTCAGTTCTTAGCCTGTTTCTTTTACTTCAGATATGTTATCACAAAGGCAAGAATACCCGTCACAACTGTACTTCCTGTTGTCAACTCATGGATCTCACTCACACAAGTGGCTGGAAATGGAACTGCTAAACCTAATCTCAAACGTTATGTAGAATTCTTAGAGTATCTTCACATGCGTAACGAAAACCTTCTTTTTCTGCTCCTTTACTGTTACTAATCACTCCTACTGCTTATTCTAACTTAAAGGTCTACTGATAACTTATTTCAAGTAGAAATCAAGACACGTTATTTACCATTATTCCATTATAGCTGAAATATCTCAACTGTCCTAACTGATTACTACCTTTGACCCCCAGAGCCTCGTCAGTGTAGAGGTAGTCCAGAATCACTTGCAGGATGTCAGAATGGATCGGCATTTCCAGAGCTGCACAGCTGGAGGCCTAACATAAAAGAAAGTAAAATAATTCACTTTAAACGATAAAATGCTATTAAGTTCTAATTTGAGTTACTGATAAAAAAATACCCTGAACAAGAAATCACAAGAAATGCAAAAGAACATGAAAATATAAGACGCAAAGCTAAAATGATATCTAATTAATTTTAAAACATAATATAAAAAAGAAACAAAAAAATTTCAGAGAACAAGAAACTCTACTATTCCTACTATGTTTTCTAAGTAGCTTTTTAGAAACGATTTTAAATACTAAATGTTGCTATTTTCCACCAGGATTAGCCGTAAATAAAGTGGAATACAAAACTGAGTTAAAATATCATCAATTTCTAATTCTGACTTTAATATATACCATAATTTTCAAGAAATATTAAGTACAGTCACCAGCTAAGGTGCTTTTTACTCGAATCTTACCTCAATCCATGAGCTACTCAGCATACTATGAAAATAATCTGAAAGAAAAAAGTTCAAAGCAATAAAAACAGTGAAACAATACTAAAACAAACAAGTCACTGGCTAACAAGGCGAGCACTGACCGAGCCTGGCGCAGAGAACGCACTTGTGACAGGGGAACTCCTTTCCATCCACTGACTTCATGGTCACATCACACAGAAATGAGCTGCAAGAAAAATGTCTAACTGAAACAAGAGCAATCTCTTTACTTATTTAGTTACACAGGAAACTTTGCTCTAAAATTTGGCTCATCTTTACATTTTCTCTTAAATGTGGCAGAGAATAGGCAACTTGCAGGAATATGTACAAATAAAATGTTTCAACTTCTTCCACCTCAGGGAAGATAACGAGGCCCTCACGATAAAGACAATACTTAAAAAGGAACTCAGCACAGAGAAATACTCAAAAAAGTCTTCTTTCTGATTTTCCTCTTTTTATTCTGGGTAAGGTACCACGCTATAATAGTGACCTGGTATTTAAAGCTCTTCAGTGCACTTAGGCACCTGTTCTGTGCCAGGCACACTCAACACATCTCCACAGTGTCTCTTTCTCTAAAACTTTTCACCACCAAAGAAAGTACAAATACCTGAAAATAAAACTTTTAACAACATATTCTGAATAGTGTATTTCTTACTGAAACCATTTTATACTAAAGGAAATAATTGCAACAATGAAGACGCATAATCAGTTTGTGGATTAATATTTCCTAATTATGGCAAGACACAAAATACAGGCAATAAAAATTAAAATTAATGCTTTCTTTGAAAGAATGTACTCCTTCCGTGTCTGATTGAGCAGTTAGTACTTTATCCATTGCCTCAACAGCTCCCAACCCTTCCAGAAATGAAGAAGCTGGGAGAAGGGAAGAGGACATCCCCTACACACGCTGCATCCAGAGAACATCCCCCTATACACGCTGCAACCAGAGGACATCCCCCCACACACGCTGCATCCAGAGGACATCCCCCCACACACGCTGCATGCAGAGGACATCCCCCCACACATGCTGCATCCAGAGGACATCCCCCCACACACACACATGCTCTATCCCGTGGGGAGGACTCCATCTCCACCTACGTGCCAAAATCTAAAGATGAAAAGTTTATCTTACTAACTTACCATTTTTTCCGATTTAGCTTCAGTTTATTACCAGTTTTCTTGGTAGTAACATTAATCTTTTCATTTTCAAATCTGACTCCATCTAACCTATCAAGAATAGATAAAAATTAATTAGTGGACATATTTCCCACCAAAATAAACAAGCATACAACAAAAATCCAATTAGTTTATATGTAAATATAATTGTATCTCCTAGAAAAGTATCTCAACACACCCCTCAGAGATAAAGAAATACTATGCCTTTCCTTCAATTTAGTTAGAATTCAAAAATATAATAAACATTATTGACAACAGCAGGTCAAAGCCCAACGCGCTTTACTGCCCTCCTCCCCGGCTCCCTCACCCAGAGGAGGTGCTGCCGCCCGCAGGATCACACATCCCCTAATAGGAGGGCATCCCGCAGACTCTGACAGACACGTGACAGACAGCACTCAAGGACTCGACACGTGCCCTATGACAACATTACACCAACAATGTGAGGTGAATATTATCCCTCTGATTTCGCATACTGAGAACTGGAGATTCAGAGACTTACAAATTTGTCCCAGCCAGCAACAACTGAGCTAAGAGAGCCCCGCAGGCCCAGCTGCAGCGTCCTCTCCAGCACACACCACCTGCCGCTCCCGTCCGCCTCACTGGCCCCCAGGGAGCCCTCTCCTACCCTTCCACACTCTAATCCACAGGATCCAACACAAACAGCTCTGCCAGAAAACGGGGGAAGGACACATCGGGATACCACCCCCAAAAGAGAGGGAGGAAGGAAGGAGGCAAAGGGAAACAGGAGAAAACAAGGATAGAAAAGGGGGATTTTTGAAAGGGAGGCTCTACTGGGGTCAACCCCAGACACAGAGAAGGAATCGCCTACCTACTGCTCAAAGCGCTGAAGCCAAATTTCTTTGCGACGTTTTGCAACATTCTTACAGGATCATCTTCCCCAGCACTTCTTCCCTTTTTACAAGATTTAGGTTTACTTTTCTGCTTTTCGCTAATTGTATGAGCTTGATTACTCTTATAAACTTCAAATGCTGACTTCGGATTATCATCCTCACAGCAGTTCATTTTATTCAGATGAGAATTCAGAGCGCTTTGATATTCTTCTGGTTTTCTGTTTGAGTGTATTCTTGGTTTGAAGCCATGAGTTAAAAAGTCACAAGTATCTGTGTATATAAACTGCAGAAGGTATTCAAACAAGTCAGGATGAACCTTCTCTACCACAAAGAGGCGGCATCCTGCAGAATCTTCATCTTTCCAGTAAACATCTGTAAATTCTAAACTAGCATCATCTGAAAGAAACAACTTCTGAAAAAAGTCGGAACGCATTGCCAAAATGTATTTATGAGCAGGGAAGATTCTGTTCCCAACCCGGAACGTCACATCGTGGATACTGTCCATTTCATCAGTTTCCCTCAACAGTTTGCCAAACTCTTCCAAGAAGGATGATGGGGACACGCAGGGAATTTCATACAGGCTGGAAACAAAACAGAACCATTTACACTTCCAAAAACATACAAGAGAAAGTATCCACAGGTAATTCTCCTTTTAACATGCAATGTGTTTTATTACTTATAAAACTTAATTTTTATTTGGTATTTCCTGAAATATAAGAATTTTGCACAGTCTTAGATACTATATCACCCTTTTTATATTTATGGTTTTTTTCTCTCACACTAAAATGAAAAGAATTAAGTTTTCCTTTAAAAGGGAGTTCTCGATTTCTACAAGGAAATGCTATAAAATATAAGTTCAAATTGCTATTTCACAGAAATTTTTTAAATGATTAAAATCACAAAAACATTCAAAAAAGAATAGACACTGTAGTTCTCAACTTCTTCCCCTTTTACATCTTTCACAAACGAAGAAAGACAGACAGAAGATATACAGAAAACCAGCCCACAGCTCTAGCTCTCTCAGTCCACAGAAACGCAGTCACACCTTCCAGCCCACAGCTCTAGCTCTCTCAGTCCACAGAAAC